TGAAACACTGTGTTACAAGTTTGTCCGGCAGTTGACAACCTCTTGATCTTAAATCCTCAATAATGGAAACAGGCCTTTTGATATCGAATCAAATGCGTCCTGTTAACACCAAAGGTCGGGGATGTAGGGATGTTGCTTTCCAGAAATGGAAAATTCACAATAGGGAAATTGAAATTATCACGCTTATCATACAGCTTGGTGGAAAGCTGTCCAAATCGGTTTCGGTGTAAGAAAATGTCGCGAGAAGAGACTGATGTAGAAGAGTCTGTATTGACATTGATTTTCAACTATTTGGGTACTTACGACGGACGTGGTCAAAACATTTCTTGTTATTTAAAGACTAAAAGTTGCATAAATGATTTTGAAAGCGAAATTTAACAACTATACAAAGTGTTTTGACTTGGTTTGATAAGCTCTTCAATACATTTAGTCTCTTATGAAAACAAAAACAAGTCAGCCAACAGTTAGTTCCCAAAGGTGTGCCAATGATCTGTTGGAAGATCTTACCATCAAACCCAACTAGAAACTGGATAATTTTGTATGCTTTCGTCCTCCGTATATTTCTTCTTTGATTTGCGCGTATCAATCACAAAATGTGCTCCAGCATAGTTAAAAACCATATATTTGTACCTCCGTTCAAATTTCTTGGAAAAGAACGGTCTTATAACAGGAGAATGAAGGCATTCTTTTGGTTTAAGAGGTATGGTGGTGCACAGAGTGGAAAAATAAAATGGTCTTATAAAAGTAATTTTTTTAGAAGATAGTATTGAAAATTAGGCAAAATCTCTTTGGAGTTCTTTAAACACCACATATTATTAATTCCGTTTTTTTGAGTAAACAATATCACAATAATATCGAAACCAAGTTTCGATAGCGTTAAATATGGTAGTTAGTAAATTTGACAAGGATTTGGTTGAGCAGCTGGCCAACAATTACACTTTTTTATAGATTCTTGCAAAGTTTAGGAATTAAATATGAAATATGTCCGTATAATAATCATTAATAGGGAATCCAAATTATTGTAATACGGAAGCATGATTAGCCAGTAATTCTTCTTTAGAAAGATTGCATAAAGTATAGTTGGTGTTTTCTTCCTTATCGAGCAAGCCTAGTTCTTTTTGTATACAGGAAATGTTATAATGTTTGCAGGCATTAATAATCTGTAGGCACAATAACATGCTTGTCATGTAAATTTTGAAGTGTGAATTTAACATGAGGATCGAAGAAAGCTGATCTATGTTACGTTTTCATTGTTGGTTTCAAGCTGCACATTCTTTTAAAAATGATGGACCGAACGGACTTAACCCACTCAGAAAGTGAATCCAACGCAACATGCTTCCGTTTCTCCATGTAACATTAGACAACGTCTTTACAGCAATATTCAAACCATATTTCTATTTAAAGTGTACTAAAAGTAATAAGAAAAACAAATCCAGAAAAAAACATTAAGGGTTTTAGACAAAAGAGTTTTTGCTCTGTCTTTGTATCAAGAAAATTTGATATAGTTTTACATTGATATGGAATGGAATTGATCAGGTCCTCCATTTAGATTGAAAGAATTTCATAGAGCACATTCGTAAAATGATATGCATTGTAATGTAACATGCATTTCTAACGACGCCAGATTCCTGTGTACTTCTATCCCTCTCGACAATGCTCTTCATGATATTCTATACAGCTATGCGCGCTACCGACCATGAAATACAAATATTGTATGCAGTGCTCCCTTGCCTTTTCATTGTATCAATGTTTCTATTGTGCGTGACAAAATGTGTAATACGCAATGTATGCATATACCGACGGCAGATGTCACGTGATCACACGAGAGACACAGTAGTGGGCTGGAGAGTTTTTTTTATAATCTTCCCGAAAGCTCTATATATATTCATAATTTTTTCTGTACTAAAGTGTAGGATTGCCGCTTTTGAAGAATACAGATTTGTTTGATAACACATTTATTTTCCTGATACATGAACATTTGTTTCACGTTGTGTTAGTTGTAATGGTCGGTAAAATTGTGTGGGTTTTTTTTCGCGGCTTTCCAGAAATATTAAAATCTTGTTCATATTTATTTTTAAGACTATATCGTTGTTGAGTAAAGAAAGTATTATAAAACGAAATGAAACTATGATTATACACATCTATGACACGTACAAAGTACACTTAGAAGTTGTTTCTAACTGTTAAATTCTCAATTCATATAAAAGTCGTTTTACGGGTTTTGTTTTTTGGGGATTTCTTTATTTTTTATTTACAGAATTGACAAATCGTTTAGTTCAACATGATGATTGTGAGATTAAAAAAAATACTGTCATACGATTCAAACCACATCAATTGATTCGCAATTATTTTATATATAGTAGTATATAATGATGTCGTTAAAAACTCGAAAATGTCAGCGAGAACGAACTATAAGTATAGAAAATCTTAAAGTACATTATGATGCGGCAGAGTCTCCTTAACAACGTGCGAGGAATTGTTAATATGTTTATTGAATACGTCTGCATTGTAACAGTGGTGTTTTGTTTGAGGCGGGTGATGGAGGTGAGATACACCTAAATATAGAAACAGAAGTGAAAAGAATACGTCTCGGTTACGCGAAAAGGTAGAATTTCATACACATGGGATAAACTTAGGGCAGGTGGATAAGGACACTCTTTTGTGATAAATGAATGACAGAATATGACATAACCCAGCAATTTACCTTTATTTACGGTTGGACGCTTATCCGCTCTACGCATAAATAACGAGTCTTACCTGTCTCGTGTGTGTCGTTAGAAGTCAAAACGCCTAAACTCTTTACGTTGTTGTTATTGTTCAGTTCGATAAATATGCATCATGTATAATTTTACATCTGGAATTGAATCGGGGGGGGGGGGGACCTGCATAATATGATAATACTTGTTCAAAAATTGTACCTGGCATACTAGTAATTAGTGTCTTCCAATACAGCGTTAGAATTAGAAATAGTAGAGACAAGAAATAATCAAATAATCAAAGAGCATCATGCAGCTTTCTCAGCCTTCTTGGACTTGTCAGTGAAATATACACTCACTTTAATTTCGTAAGAGGAGTTTGTGTGCATATGCTTACCTAAACCAGATGCATAGGTGAATATGTATCAATCTGTTGCTAATTTGGAGTAATGATCATAATGAAGCATAAAAATAACATTGGTTAATACAAAATCCAGTATTAAACCAAACGAATACTTATGATGAAAGGAGAAGCATTCCTCTATATTGTAACATTTTTGTTCCGTTTTTTCTATATTTTTCATTTTCAGATGACTTCAGACTTAGTCAAATATATTACAGCATGTAACATATTGTATAACCCTTTAATTAGCTCGTTATATCTATGACAAATACGGATATTTCTAAAGTGTGGAGAAATTAACACTGAAAGATGATATCTAATTTTTTGTAAGCTTCCCACACTTCAAGCAACCTGCTGTAACATGCATATAACCTGACATTGAATGCAGATCACTCCTTTGCTATTCATTTTTTTAATACAGATGAATGTTAGCTGCATCAGACTGAAACTACATGTGTTGATAAGTAATCTTGCTCTGGTAACTTTCATAATCTTTTTCGTTGTTTGCTACTGCTGTTGAAATAAATGTGAGTATTGTCACTTGAATATATTTCTTAGATAATAACAGGCTCTTTATAAAATGCCTGAATGAGTTATGATCTTATATCATCCCCCCGACTTGGGTATAGCTGTATTTGCTTGTAAACCTCGGTTTGAACAGATGGAAGGGGACGGGCCGACTCACAGCGCTTTTCCTGTATATAACAGTATTGACAACCTAATACACCAATTCAATACAAATACTGCCATCGCCTTCGTACGGCAGTTAGCTGACTTCTCATCGAACAGACTAGTATACGCTTAGCGTCTATCTGAGCGAACACATGGCCGAGGAGGCCTCTGATCGACAGTAGGCTCTCCACTATCACATAACACACAGCGGAACCTATCGTGAACACGCGCCAGCCTGTAACCCCGTGGGTAACATACGGAAGTATTCGGAGCTGCTGAAAGTTTTCTAAATAGAAAGTAAAACTACTTTTTATTAGAAGTTTGTGGGATTGGAAATTAATTCTTGTCAGTGCAATATATTTGCCGGTGTTTACTATAGTATTCATGACGTTGTTATTTCATAACGGACCCGAGTGTATGAGCACAATATACCAATCGTGAGTGAAGCCATGCAGATCATTTATGTGTACTTTATAGAAACCCGGGAGAAATGTGTTCTGTGAATACGCCAGGATTAAATAGTGAATTTCGTTTGATTAAATACTTATTTATTCAAGATTTCCAATGTTTGAATTCGGTAAACGGAACCTAGAAAACAGTATGAATTAAATAGTCCAGACGTGCTCATATCAACTTAACCTGTCGATATTTGGATCTACCTGTAGTATACCTACGTACTTTAACGGACAGAGATCTCTGCTAGGACGGTGAGTGATGGGACATCCTAATTGAAAAACTTACTTGATTTTTAAGACCATGTAACACGAGCAGTTTCAATGATTACATGTGAGGAGATGTCCAAATACCTTTATTCTGGTTGGTGAGGGTAATTATCTTTACAAACACTGATAGGTTGTATTGGCGGTTAAAACAAACGCCCATTTACCCGGTGTTATATCCATAGTGTTCAAATGGGAGTGTTTACCTAATATCGCCTACACCTTAAATGGAAATTGTTCGTCAATTGATCCCCAGCAGACCAATGTTTGCTGTGGTACCACTTTAAAATTCCAAAAACAAATCTTCAAGGAGAAGTTGTGCGTGTTGTGATGGTTCAGGTGGTGTATGGATGCCTCTATATTCCACTATGGGTCTGTTGATCCGGTCTTACCACTCCCTGTACACCTTGGAATTAACTGCGGTAAGGTTGGGGAAGAGGGGCAATACAACTGTTAATCAGCAGATGCCAAACCATCGGATTTATTTGAGAAATTGCCGTTCCCAAGAATATGGTGACCAACTACTCTGTTTTTCCTAATCTAGGGTATGACATTTTCGACAATGGAAGTGCTGGAGGTAACGTTTCCGGCGATATGGAATCAGAATCAACTGGACCGTTTACTCTCGTGGAGAGTATTGTGATTGGGACCATTCTGTCTCTGGTCATTATTCTGGCCATTGCAGGAAATATCCTGGTCTGTGTCGCTGTGTTTACGGACCGGAGATTAAAACACCTCAACAATCTATTCATTGTGTCACTAGCTATCGCAGATCTCCTAGTGGCTATACTTGTGATGACTTTTGCTGTCGTAAACGATATACAAGGGAGATGGCTTTTCGGTTCCGTGTTTTGCAATATTTGGATTTCATCTGATATCATGTGTTCAACCGCTTCCATCCTTAATCTGTGTGTTATAAGCTTAGACAGATATATTCACATCCGTGATCCGTTACGGTATGAGGCATGTATGACTTGGAAGAAAGTTGCTGCAATGATTTCGTCAGTTTGGATTATGTCTCTTATAATATCCTTTGTTCCTATTCACTTAAATTGGCACAAAAATCCGGAGGATCAAGGAAAACCTCCTGATGAAAATTCTTGTATGATGGATTTGAACCGAGCCTACGCAGTAGTGTCCTCCACTATCAGTTTTTATATCCCACTTATTGTTATGTTAGCTATTTATATCCAGCTTTATGCATATGCACGAAAACATGCTGCCAGCATTAAAAAGATCAACACGCCTTTATCACAAGACCGTTTTAACAATTCCAACGGTAAAAGTAGCGGATCGAAGATGTCCGACCACAAAGCTGCCGTAACACTTGGTATTATTGTTGGAGTTTTTCTTTTCTGCTGGTTGCCTTTCTTTATAATGAATCTGATAGCAGCTTTTTGTGAATGTGTTATTCCAGGAGCGGTGGTCAGCGTTCTAACCTGGTTAGGTTATGCCAATTCATTTTTGAATCCAATCATATATAGTATCTTTAATAGAGATTTTCGAGAAGCTTTCAAACGAATTTTATTCCCCAAATCATGCAAGTGTATTGAAAATCGACGTCATAATAATGGATTTAATCACCGGAGTCCAAGAAAACAAATGAACAAATCTGAATATATTATGCATACAACAGAAAATGGTTCTAGAAGGGACTGTAAAGAACCACTTTGCTCAGAAATGACAGCTTTATAAGTCCCATAGCCTTTCAGGTGAGCTCCACGGGCGTTTAATGCCGTATAGTTGTGTATATGAGAGTACTTTGAAAGATGTAGAGAGAACACGAGAGTGAGAGAAGGAAGAATACGATATAACACAATTAAGGCGAAAACGAGACATATAACGTTTTTGCATATTTTTAGCTGGTAAAGTACAGTTCAACTCATAAATTATATCAATTATCCATGAAAAGTATTATTCAATAGCAAAAAGTAGAAATTACACATGAATATTGATAGTCAGAAATCATGATATTATCCCGATGATATTTGGTTTAAATTGTAGTTTTAAAAACATCTATGCCACAAAACCATCATTAAAATTGAAATCTTTTTTTTTTTTTTTTTTGAAATATATTTCACTCTCGTTTATAGCCTTCTATTTTGGTTTTCCATACTGTCACGTGAAAATGTATTTTTAGCTTACGCGTTTTATGAACACGACAATATATATAGTAAAAGTTAAGAGCAATCGTGCATTGATCATGGCCATAGTGTTACAGGTCTATACATTATTCAATCCTGACTCAGCTAGCTTACTTCAATATTTTGATTTATTCTATATTCTTGAACTAACTAAGGTTTACAGGGTGAGTGAAATGTTTACCGATATATTCTGCCAAAGCAATTTAAATGGACAAAGAGTAAAACGCAGGAATGAACAAACATTTTCCTTTCGAACGTACCGGCTTAATCATACAGAGAATTAGAAAATAAATACCTCTTAATATAGATTGTCCAATTTATTTCACTCCAATAGGTCTTTATGGAGATGGAATTTTTCTGTTAAAAGTATATCTATACTTTACTCAAATATATCATGACTGCCATTAAACATTAATTATTTTTGTTTTCAAAGTAACTCTTTCCAAATCGATAATACTCTTAACGTGTGAAATAAATGATTTGGTGATTTTGACCCGATTTCCATTAATCCTATCATTGCAAAAACATGCCTTTTGGGAGGAATGGTATAATGGAATCGGTATTCCGAAAAGTAATGGAGGTTTAAAGACTCACAGGTCAATACGAAGTCCCGACACTGATCCTAGTACATATAGACACGAGGGCTATCACCGTGAACCTTTGTGCCACTAGGTCACGCTATCTACCTGTAGGCCCATATGATATACTACCAGCTTGGTCTAAATTATGAAATGCAGGACATGAATGTTATCAGCGTCTTTCAATATATTGCAAAGAAAGCAAAACTTGTAATAAAATCACACAATGTCAAGTTTTAGCTACTGTTGACATTAACAGGAATTAGGTTTATGATAAAAGAAAACAAGTTTCTAAAATCAAAACGTTTAGATTTGTCTTTGAAACCCAACAATTCTAAAGAGACTACTATGAATAATTCGTCAATGGTGAATGTTAAGATTGATTGCGTTGTTATCTTAACTATGTTTTTGTTTAAAGTAGACTAGACCAGTTTTCTTGAAAAAATCAGATATATCAATTTTAAGCACCAGTCCATATCATAATATAATATATATAATCTTCTATAAAAATGAAGATGATCTTCCTAATATGCTAATCACTTAAATGAAAAATCTTTAGGGAAATTCTCATCTGAACTGATTACCAGTAGCAAGTTAACACCCCACAGAGTATCTCTGTCGTGAAATGGAAACTATAGTAGGTCATGCTATTTTGAATATGTTATATATATCTATAGTATTATTTGCATTATTGAATAGGAGACCAAGGTGAACATGAAATTTTTACACAGGGTAGTCATTTTCGTAAACGGAAATGTTTGACATTTAGATCAACATCGTTTTCAAATTGCTTTGTGATGCACTTTTTGTAATATTGATTTTCAACATATTGGCTACATCTAGTGTATAGCTCAACTACGATATATATGCATAATCACTTGAAATATGATTCGTAACATTGTGAAGGTCAAAGATATTATTGTCTATTATGTCAAAATCAATTGATAAAAGATGATTTCAAGCATTCTTACAGTTGTCGTTACAACCCATAAACGAATTGTACAAAAGATAATAGCTTTCAGCAAAACATATTATTGGATAAAGATATAAAAGATAATGAAAAAAAATCTACATTACAAAGGTGGTTTGTCCGTCGAGGACTCTCAGTGATGTTAGTTGATATAAAAATGAGCCAATCTAGACTGAAGAAGCGTTTGTAAATTTCTGTCTTCCACTTGACCTCCTTTCGTGTCAGTGTGTAATTGAGAAGGTGTTTCCGGACACAATGCCACATGGCCATCGATCTGATCCCCAAGTCTCATCGTAAAGTTCTGCCAGTGCATTTATATAGACAAGTCCGTGTTAATTAAACAGTCAGTCGAAAATATCCCTAACGATATCTTTATGTGTCTCGATATTCATTCTATTGTTTTAAGTCCTAGAGGAAAGTACAAAAGACACACAAGTGAGGAGCACCTTTTAATGTAAATTTAGACTTAGATACAATATAGCCAAAGAATGAATGAAACTACATCATACATCTGTTTCCATTTGATGGGACTTGTCATTGATGCTTAGGAGAAAATCCATTGTTATCACAAGAAGTCAAAATGAAGATAAGAAGGTGCAATAGCCCTTATTCAAAACATTTCGTTTTTATATATATGTATCTAATAATATGAAGATGTAAGTGAATGATGACAGCACAGAAATAGCATTGTTAATACGCATTTAGAATAACGTAGTTACCGGAAATTCAAATAATGAACTTGACTGCACCATGCAGCTGTTTCGTCCTTCAAGGACTTGTTTGTACGTTTACCCTATCCGTTAGTTATATCCTAAATAACGTCCTAGCAATATATATTCGTGTGTATGCATTAAAACAAAGTATTTCACATTTACTTATACATTTTCTGTGTAAAAGCCGTTTAATGATCTTCCTGTCAAATTTTCGATGCACTCTTCAATACATATCGCAAATATGCATATGAATGGTTTACAATTTACAACAAAACCTTTAAGCGAATCCAAATTTGATATGATATACTAATTCAGAAACTATCAAGAAAGTACATTAAGCATTTGTCACAATTCAGGATCTATCCACGGGGCTAATTTTTAGAGCGACGGTCAATCGTTGTTCTTGCTCTTCCACATTTTGGATAGGATGCATCGTCAATTAAGATGTTCCTTCATTCTCTTTGAAATTTAGTTATCACAACAGGAGAATAGTGACCTAGTTTAGGTACAATATGAGACAGTTAAATCGATATCCATTGTTTCCATAATTATCCATAATGTGTAGTCCGTCCATCACATATATTATAATCATTTCATAATAGAAAAGCCTATTTGGTGTGTTTTAACTTTGTAGCCAGAATCAATATATATTATCGCCAAAATTGGTTTTAGACATAATTCATATAATTTACAAACGTAAAGCATTTTTTCGCAAGTGACAATTTCTAAATGCAATGTAAATACTGATCTCCATAGCCAAATTATCCTTTTTTAAATAACTTTTAAATTGAAATGTGTTATTATCTTGGATGAGAGTACAAGTGTGAGAGTTGAAGTTATCATAAACATTTTTGCAACATATATCATTAGCGACAAAGTCATACTTAAAAGTACAGCCCTTATGTTTTGTTTGGAAGTCTCTGCAATATTTATTTATAATAGAAATGTGTGTACACAATATATGTTTGGTTTGATTATGTATAATTTGATGTTTACTTGACTATGCCATTTGTCTGCACTCCGAATCACTCAAATGTAAACGTAGAACTATTAAAGGCACATCAAATGGAATGTAAAAAAAGATAGAATATACGATTGTATCAGTTCTGTCAGTAATGTTTTACATTCTAGTGTTTGTAATACAAAGGTGACCATCTAGATTCAAATGGAAAATCATAAAGAAACTTCCTTAAGGTAGTAATTAAATCGTTTCGATCATCGTTAATTGTCTCACATTTTGCCGCGAAAGTAATTTTACATTTTGCAATTTCCAAATTTAGAACAGCATTCAACACTTTGTCTATCTTAGATTAATAACAAAACTGAAGTGCCGTATATTCCTATTTGGTCAAGTATGGAACTAATGCAGAGGTGATTATGAAATGTTACTGTGTGTATTCTACTAGCTACAAACATTCGCCGAGGACAGGTTTTATGTAATTGTTACCATAGTAACGAGAATGTAGTATTGCGTAATTATTACTATATTTACTGCTGTTTGAAGTGCTATATCCCATAGGACTGTGATACGGTTGCTGTTTTTTTATGTGATGCAGCTAACTACTACTTTTGTTGATGTACTGAAGTGCATCTGTTTCGTTAGTTACATTGGTTACCATAGTAACATCTGTCATATTCGCAAGGTCCGTATGGTACAACTGTAACTGTAAAATGTATTCAATAGTTGTAGTGGTGTATCACCGTTACTTAAGTTACGATTGTTACTAAAGTATGGCTGAAACGCAAATATGGAAACTTTAGCAAATTGAATCTGCTACTGTAGTTCCAATTGTACCGTAGTATAATACTTTGATTAGAATTGTTGAAGGAATATGGTACATAGTTTATATAGTTGTTTAATATTGCAGCTACCACTATATACATTTGCTACAATATGGTTCTACAGCCATAGCTATGTTTGGTGTAGCGTGGTACAAATTCTATAATAGTTCCTCTAGTAAACTTTTCCGTGTTTTAGTACTATGGAATTTTTAATATTATTCCTATTGAATCAATTGGTAATTAAGTATCTATAGACAAAGCTGATTATATACTTATTATTGTCCAGCGGTGCTGCTGTCATTACAACATTGATATACTAAACTTAATGCAACGGAACAGTGATAATATGTTTCTATAGAATACAGTATATCGTTTATCCGTTTACCTGTAGTGACCTTTCAACTTTCAAAACTAGAGTAATTGTATTGTTTACTCATGTATAATAAGACATCGGTGTGAATAATTTTTGAAGCTTGTCTCCCTTATATGCAGATTGTAATTACCCCCA